CCAGAGGTAGATTAATCTATTTTTCTAGTATAGATTCTAAATTATAGTATAGATTCAGTAGACTATACATTCTAGTATAGCGGATTCTAGATTCTGGTATAGATTCTAGATTGTAGTATAGATTGTAGTATAAATTCTAGATTGTAGTATAGATTGTAGTATAAATGGTATAGTATAGATTGTAGTATAGATTTTATATAGATTCTTGTATAGATTCTAGATTCTAGTATAGATAATAGATTTTAGTATATATTCTATTATAGATTATAGATTCTAGGAAACATCAAACGATAAACGCATCCTGAACCTAATTACAAAGGGATCCCACCACCGAAATCTCAGCGTCATCTTCCTCCTGCAGAATGTCTATTTTCATTTTTCATGCGTACCTTGAGTCTGAATGCAGCCTATCTTGTCTTGTTTAAAAATCCAAGAGATTTTAATAAACACCGAGTCGTTCAAAAATACGAGACCACTGTTCAGCGGCCTTACGGCTACCTTTTCATTGATCAACTGTTAGTGGTCATGATTTGTAAAATCTTTCTTGGATTTAATACGAATATAATATGATAAAACAATTCTTATAGAGAACCACTTTCAGTGTGCATATCTTCGCTTCACAAAAAATGTATAAATAAAAACATAAAAAAATAAATAAACTATTGAATGACGTTGATTTTAAGTTTACCGTTAAATCTGCTACGTTGCACGATAGTCCGATGATCACCGCTGCCTCCTGTACTTTTGCTTCCATTTACTTCAAGTCTCGAAGCTCCCGTTGGTTTTGCTGCTATTTTCCCCTCCCTGCTGTTTCTAGTCTAAAAATAACGATGTCACTGGCTCCGTCTGACTACGTCAAAAAAAGCAATGACGTCATCGGCTCCACTAAAAAATGATGATGTCATCACCTCCATTGACTCCATCAGCCCCATCAAAAAATAGTGATGACGTCATCGACTCCATCGGCTCTATCAAAAAAATCACTATGACGTCACGGGGATGGCGCAGGATTGGTACTTCCATAGTACTGTTGACGACAAACTTGATTTTGTGGTGGCAAATCTAATTCGGCGGAACGGCAACTTTTAATTTACTATGACAAATATTGTCCTTTGGACGGCAAACTCATTGGTCAACGACAAAATTATTCTATAGACGTCAAGTTTAACTTTGTGATGTCAAATATAAATTCTATAGGTCCTATAGAGATCAAACATACCTTTGTGACTAGGAAAACTAATTCTGTAGACGACAAACTAATTCTGTAGACGGCAAACTAATTTTTTTTTGATTAATCACGATTTACCACCATCAATCACCATAATTCCTTATTATAATTAACTTTAAAACTTATACCAATTTGCACATGTACCTGTTGTCTTTCCTTATCCCAATTTAACTCTTCGGCCATGATCTCTACTATTCGTGTAGCTGCATCTTTTGCAGCACGGACATCCAAAAAAGCTATTCTTATTCGTCTTGCCAAAACATCAATAGCAGTACATGCGTACTCTCTGACGGCGTAGCGCACCTATAATGAACATATCAACAACGTTTCAATTAATTACTTTTCTAAGTTATTCAAGTATTAGAGTTCGTAGCTAGAGTGTACGCCATATAAGTGTTAAACAATTCTTAGAGTAGTTCTCATTAACCCGTGAAATACACTTAAGCGTATTTATCGCTATTACACTTAGGCTCTTTTGTTTTTATTGTGTCTACGCGACTATTACGATCTATTACACTCATTATTACACTCACTATTACACATTATTACACTTTGTTTCACGGGTTTATGAAAACCRCACTAACAAATTAGCGCCTAATAAGATTTAGTTATCAACTAACTAAGAATTCACTGAGGCAGTGAGGCGTAAACAAAGACAATTTTAGATCAAATAGATGATTGTAGGTTGGTCTATTTATAAGTGATTTTTAAAAAACGTTGCTTCAACCTAAACTTTTTTATTTTTTTTATACATATTTATTTCAATCTCTCAAGATATATTTGTATTCCTATTTACAACTTAGGGAAAGACACGCACTAGGCTGTGTCTCTCGAGATSATCTATTCAAGATGTTTTTGTATTTCTATTTACAACTTAGGGAAARACACGCATTAGGCTGTGTCTCTCAAGATTATATATTTACTTATGTATTTAATCTTTTTTTTTTTTAATTATCATAATTGACCAAAGTTATACAATATTAACTGACTAAATTTAGATTAAAGAGTTTCGATAGTCATGAGCCGAGAAAAAAAAACAAAACAAGTAGAGAATGACATTACAAGGAATAATTAAATATATAGAATATAAAAAAAAAGATGATTAACTATAAAGATATTCGTCTCGTTAGAGAAAGAGCATTGTTAACATTGTGCCATTTTCTCTTGTGATCCTCAAGTTTATTATTAGATTTTGCTATTCGCTTTTCAATATTCTCGTAATAGATTAATAGGTTCTTAAACAAGGCTAGAATTGGAGGGTTTCCTTTATCTCTGAATTTATATAACGTYATTTTAAATATAATGAGGATCATATTGACTGTGACGTCATCAACCCCTAATAAAACTTCCTTTTTTTGATAAACTAGGTAAGAGTACGCCATACTGCTTAAGCCAGGATTGAATATCGAAATACACATTTTTTGAGATTAAACATTCAACAAATAAATGCTCAACAGTTTCGAGGTGATACAAACAATAGGAACATGAAGGTGATTCAATTTTATGAAAACGATAGAGATCTCGATTAAGATATAATATATTATTTACAATTTTVTATTGAAWGTAACGAAGATAGGAGTCTATTGTTGTTTTATATATTCTTTTATACACATTTTCCCAAACAATTTCATGATCAAATTTTTTACTCAAGTTACTCTGTGCTGAMGGTGGTACGAAAACCTTGTCAATAAGATGGAAATATAAGTTTTTTATCGAATTTTTTTCAAAACATATTTTACTTCCCTTTAATTGCAGTGATCTTTGGATACCTCCCCGTTTTTTATTCTTTATAATTTTCATTTCATTTTTCCACTCTTTTGGAATCGAATGAAMCAACTGAAACCATYTAAACTTGTCATCGTCATTYAAACCAAAGGATCTAGCATGCTCCCAGGTCATGGTACCATTATCGTCGCAAAGATCTTTTAGATAGTTTATTTGTTTCCTTGAAAATATTTTGATATAGATTGATTYATTGTTTATTCTGATGTGCCTATTATTCCAAATACATTGCTCGTTAACATTTGGCAGAGCCTGGATTAAGTATTGATACTGTTTGCAAGAGCCGTCTCGTCGCTAACAAGGTCAGAGTGAAGGATGGACAAAAGATCACGGACAGATGATTTGGAGGTTCCACAGAGTTGTTTTACTTCTCTCCACCAGTCACGTGGTTTAGAGTTTTGCAGGTCTTTAAAGTGCGGGTAAGATGAGATCCGAGGATAGGCGATTTTTTTCAGTTTTTGCTAGTTTATACTATTAATAATACCATAAATAAGGTATTTTACATTTTAGATGAAGAGAACATGTTGAAATTTGCCATTATTGTTGTCGATTTTCGATCCGCCATTAGCCGGCAGCCATTTTGGAAGATGAAGGCCGTTAGGGGCTGGTATCGAATTTTGACGTCATATGCTTAACACGAGTGAATTTGTCAACATGAACTACTGTGTGAATCCAATGTGAATCGAATGTTGTTTTCGAAATATTGCAATGTTTTTGGCACAAACTATTATTAGCTGTATTGAACATTTATCACCGACTCCATACGTATATTCTATCTGATGTTCCAGCTCAGTTTTCGGTTTCTGAATGAGACGTGACTGTCTGACAAGTYTTGTTGTCAAAAGCACAACAAGCAAACAAGAGTGAAGGTTTGATTGCTAAATAATTATTTTTGAGATATTAAGATATTTTGCAATTGAATTTCGTTATCTTGGTCGTGCTACTGAATAGCTAGTTGAGAGGAACTAATCGTTTAGAAGGATTTAGAGTTCAGTAATTTTATCGACATCAACTGGTATCGCTATCTAGTACCCGAAGCAATGTAGCGGCCGGTTTGCAATAAATAACACCTTCGCACATGCTGATTGTTGTCATGTTGTCACTATTTTACAATTCTTCTCTTTACTGATAGGCATATTTTTTACATTGAAGTGTATCTGCTCTGAAACATTTAAAGATAAACGGGTATTCAAACCATGTTTTGAGATCGGTGAATTAGTGAATTATCACAGTACTCATATTGACTCCCTGATCAAGCAAGTATAAACTGCCAATTTTCTTTCGCGTCTCAGCCCCGAAAGGACAAAAAGTATGTCGTTTTACGGGAGAGCACTTTTAAATACTTGGTCTTTTTCATTTATATTAAAACAACAAATTACGACTTCATGATAGTGAATTCAATAACATCACGCGCGGTGATAATAATTTTGTACTCAGTTTAATCAACAGTTTAAATTCAAATTCAAAGCCGAACTTATAGTGTAGCATGACTGGAGTCTTAACTTATGAAGACTCCAAAGAAAATAGAAACTTACTTTTATGATAAACTTTAGGATGTCTACAAATCTGGGAATTGAACTGGCCGTGTGCTCCCCATCTCAATGATATGTCTTCAAAGAGCGGATGTATAGTGTGTTTATTATAGGCCGAAATATATCACTATAATTTTTTCAACGATTGCATTTGAACTCGGAAGGTCTCAGAGACAGAACAAAACGTTTGATTCGATGCTCCTGACTTTGTTTCTTCGTTATTTTATACGCTTCAAACCTTCATTTCCCCTAAGTTTTGTATGTCTGAAGGACAACCTCGTTCCTGGGTTAAGCATATGACGTCATATGCTTCACGTTTGGGTAAAACCGCCAACCGATGTCACTTCGGCTCAGCTTAATGGCGGATAGGAAAAAAACGACTTTCAAAGCTCGATTTCTSCTGTTTTTCAATGATGTACCGATAAAAACATTATCAGAAATACTTATTTGGATCTTCATATAGAGGTATATGTACAAAAACAGCTCAAATTCGATGTTCGGTTTTCATCGTACCCGCACTTTAACTTTATTTTCGTAATACAGCTCACGATTGACTTTGTTACGCAGGATTTTAAACAAGGGAGTGTWWMCAGAAGCAAAGGCGTGTTGACGGCGCTTGACGAGATGTTTGAACTGTGTAGAAATCCAAGGCCGATCAGACTCATGAATTTTAATAGATCGCACTGGCATGATGGTATCAAAACCAAAGTTGATAATGTCAGTCAAAACTGCAAGTTTACTTTCGCATGAAGGGTGAGCTGCCAGTAAACTAGACCAAGGAATTTCAAGCAGAAAACGGCCAACACTGTTAACTTTGCTAGGACGTTTATTTCTTGACTTTAACCGCTGACGTAATGACGGGAAGGAATGGTYGGTTGAAGTCCCCCGACAAGATAACAGCACAGCTGGGATAAGTTGCTTCGAGGAAAGTTAGCGAGGACACAAGGTAGTCTCTCATGGCTATGTCATCGGCATCAGGATAATGGTAGACCACGCCCACGAAAAAATCGCATCAGTGGCTCTAAACAATAGAGTTCGGCTACGATACTCGGCGGCATGAGGAGTGAATTTAACACCTTGAGATGGAAACCMTTCTATTGTTCATTCATTGATACGTTAGAGAACCCACGCGGTGAACGYCTGGGCCTAAGATCCGCCCACAAAACGTCATGGTTAGAGTTGTAAAGGTCCGGAATATAGTACATTTTGTGGATGACTTCACATACATGCATACGCCTCCATGTTGCCATCCCACACGTTCATGCCTAAACAGCTGGTAAGCACTGATATTAATTGGATCGTCAGGCACAGAAGCACTTAGCCAGGTCTCCGTGAAAAGAGCAATCTCAGCATCTGTAGTGTAGATAGTATGGGAGATTTCGTAGATCTTAGAAGCGATAGACATTATGTTAGGCCCGCGCTATGCGTCGAACTTCACTTCATGCTTGAAAGCTCTTGACAGACGAACCAGAGAAATAATCAAAGACAACGGTGGAATGCACAAGAGCGAATCTACAAAACTGCTGTACCTTCCAAGCAGCCTAGGAGGAAGCGGTCTTAAAAGTGTAGAAGACACATACAAGGTGACAACTATCAAGGCAGCAAATTAYATCAACAACTCGACAGACACAAGAATCAAACTTGTAAGATCATTTGAAAAACKCAAGGCCGAAGAGGGACGAAAGTCAGTATTTAAACAAGCCACAAAGTATGCCCTAGAATACAATATCGAATGCACCTTCACTGAAACAGGAACACTRTTAACAACAGAAAGTAAAACTACACAAGTCAACTTTGCAAGCCCAGAAGCTATCAAAGATACACTAAGTAAAGCTGTGATCAAAAAGATCTCTGAAGAACTACACCAACAGAAATGGCTCGGAGATCTAACCACCAAACAACATCAAGACCTGAATATATCGGATAACACCTACCAGATCCACACAACACGGAAGAATATACCAGACATAGTATGTAGCGTCAACAAGA